ATCCAGTAGTCCCCTCCAGCCTTAAACACTGTGATTCCTCGCAAACAAACCATCTTCGTTACTGAGCACATCCTGCTAGCTCCCAGAAGGGTAACCTTGCACCAACCTCTGATGAGACTGGATCAGCCCGGGAGTTCAGTTTCAGAGAAGAACAGACATTCAAAAAGGATAATACATTTATTGTCATCTACAGTGGTACACATGTTAAAATCTAGTACGGTTTCTCAGAACACACAAAAAGATTTAGTCTAGTAAGCAGCAGTTAACATCTGTGTGGTTCCCCTGAACAAAAAGTAATAACCCCAAATCCTGTTTCTGACGATAAAAGAAAGTCAGCATTTGAGCCAGAGGGCCAGTAAGTTCATTCCTTGATACCTTCAAAAGCCGAAATATGGCTTTATGTACATTAATTTGGCACATCTCTTCTCGGGAGCTATCGCATGTGGCATTGCTACTACAATGGTAGAAGTTGGGAGAGAAAGTGGAGATACTAACGTGTTTTTACGGATTATGCAGGTACATTGATACCTTTGGAGGATCCTGTACAGTGATAATGTTTACCGAAGCAGGGTATGCAGAGGCCTAAGTTATTTCAGCTACTGACAGAGACACTGTGAGGTTCCTATGCCACAGTAAACATGGATGAATTCCATGTTTAATGTGCTATATGATTCTGCTACTAGGGGAGTCACTGTGAGCCTTAGGATACGTCTAGACTACAGGCTTTTGTTGACTGAAGTTTTGTTGACAGATACCTTGACAAAGCGCGTTTAGACTACATCCAGTGCTGTCGACAAAGCAAGCCGCTTTGTCGACATGACAGTGTAGATGCAAAGGACAGTGTAGATGCAATAACACCTTCTGTCGACAGAACTCTGTCGACAAAAGGCATTATTCTTCGTAGAATGAGGTTTACAGCTGTCGAAGAAATTGCTGATTTCTGTCGATGTTATGTCGACAAAACTCAGCGGCAGTGTAGATGCAGGTTTAGTTTTGTCGACAAAAGTGGACTTTTGTCGACAAAACTCTGTAGTCTAGACACACCCATAGTGTCTACAGATGAAAATATCCTCCACTCAGAAAGGACTGGGGGATATAACTGTCTCTTGGAACAGTTCACCAGTGGATCAGAAGCTCCTCAAGAGAGCAAGTGGCTGGGATTCTCTTGAGCTGTTTTACCAATACCCTTGGTGAGTTACAGGCTCTTGTGTTACTTCCCCTCCTCCAAGCACCCATGCAAGACAAGGCAGGATTTTGCTCACAACAAGGCCATGTCTCCATTTACCAGAGGATCAGCATTTCTCCCATTGACCTCCTGCTGTGGAGATGGCGCCAAGCTCGGTGTAAGTGACGTCAACTCCAGCTACTTTATTTACGTAGTTGGAGTTAACATAGTTGGAGCTGTGTACCTTAAACCAACTTCCCCCTATACCCGCCCAACAGTGTAGACCTGGCCTAACTAGGGATGGGTACCTTTAAAAATAATTGGCCGTTGGAGCCCAGCAAACACTCAAATGTCCAGAAGTGTCTCTGAACTGTCCCAGCTTCTGCAGTCTACAAGCAAAGCTGTGAATCTCACAGGAAAACACTATGTCAACACATTTCCGATACTCCCAGCCATGGCTAGAAATACCATAAGAACATCATTTCCTGGGGTGTTTTGGCATCATGTGCTTTTTGTTGGGAGCAGGCAAGGTAAGGCCAGCAAAATTAAAAGGAAGATGGGCAGGAACCCTCCCCACCCCAGCTAATTAAATGTTTCAAATCCAGGTCCTGAAGAAAGTGCAATTGGGTTTGGTTCTAGAAATGAGCAAAAGATCACAGAGGGTCAGGTGTTTTCCAGAAACAATGTCAATAGCCCTAATAGCAACACTTGTCGTTGCTATATGGCAGTCCAACAACAACTGCAAAGCCCTCCTTTCTGACACCCTCTCATTCAGAATATCATTCTTCTCATACCTTTGGATTAATCACCTTGCAAACTTTCTCATTTCAAATGTTGTCTGCATGCAATAACCCGCTTCTAGTCACAGAGTGATCTGAAGGAAGACAAAGCAGCCACAGTATAATTGTTGGCTTGAAAGACTTACCTAACAAAAGACAAATGCTGTCATTTCTGATTGAGCAACTGGAGAAATCGAGGAATTGTAACTTCTCGTGTTTTCTTTGTGAAGGAATCTAGTCTACCTAAAACAGCCCAATGGAGCTGTGATCTCATTAATGGCCTCTGATCATTATTATTAATACAACTAAAATAATAATAAATGGGAACAACAGCATGAACTACCTACAGAAAAAAAGCATGATGTGTAAGTGAGCTGCATACCTTCAGAATGGTTGACTAATTTTACAACTGCATCCAGAAACCTCTGCTGTGGTGAAAATCTACTGTGAGCAGAGTAAATAGTCCTATGACTAGAAAAGCAACATTTCAAAGGACGTGGGGTTTTAGAGTACAGGAAGTGATGGCTATTAGGTGAGGCGTTTGAATGTTTTATAAAAGCATCTACATTTCTTCTGGTGGTCAACATTTTCATGGACAAATCAAATTTTGGAAAATGTGGACCACTATTGAGCAATAGCCTACACAGGAAGAGTCAGATCACACGGTCTGCCTACGTTACTACCAACAGGGCTTCTAGGCCTCAGAACTAGAGAGTCACAAGGTTTGGAAACCAAGAACATGGTCCCCAGGTGGAGGACTGGCATTGCTAAATGAGACGTTTTTCACTGTAGGCATTGGCAATGAGAAGACCATCCTCCAAAGAGATGATAAGAACAGAGAACTGCTGGTAACAGCAGCTGTGTGACAGGCCAGAGTTCATATTTAGCAATGTAAGGAAGTGTGTATTCAACTAGACAGAGAAAAAAAAACCCTGGAATTACAATCAGGGAACATTGCAACTTCCAAATGTTTCTAAAGCCCTGGACCACATTTAATTAGTGTGGGCAAGATTTTTAAGGCTTCCAAAAATATTACTGAGGGAAAGGTTCCTCTCTTATGAATGTAGTAAGCAAAGTATGGAGCTTTATGACATGTGTTGGGTCTCCTGATAAGACTGGCTATAAAGAAACACAATTATATAACAGCTCCATATTTTCCTCCCCTTAAAAATTCAACAGAAACAAAAGCCAGATCCTTGACTGAAGGAGCACTTGAAACTTGCTGTCTGTAATTTCGGCATTGTTCCTTATATAAATGTATTTATGTAGAAGTGTATGCACTTCTTTTTTAAAAAAAGATGGATTTTTTTCACTGCATATCAGCTAAAACACTAAAAGGAGACAGAAGTTCTGGGCAGGTGTGGGAACCCCTACCTAGTTACAGTCGAAATCTCCATAGATAATCATATAACCCAATTACAGTGCCATTGTCACTGTCCTCTTATAGGGTATGTCTACACTACCCTCCTAGTTCGAACTAGGAGGGTAGTGTAGACATACCCTATGATGTATAAGCAGTGTTAAATAAGCTTCGGAGCCATATGTGCACAAATGCTTGACATTTCAAACACACAAAATGTACTTTGTCCTGATCCTGATGAAGAATCTAGTTAGATAGATCTTCCCTATCCTCAGAGGTTGCCACCATAATGCACATTCGGCCCTTTCAGAATGTTCTGTTGTGTTCATTAAAGGTAATCTAAAACCAAGGAAAACTTCACCAGAAGTTCCATAAGGAGACAGTTTTGCTGTTTCAAGGACTTTATGGTGACGGCATTCACCAGGACTGCAGTTCCAATCTGACTTTGTCAGCTTTGAGACATTATCTCAGATCTCTTAGGCTACCATCTAGACTGCAGGCTTCTTTCGAAAGAAGATATTTTGGAAGAGATCTTCCGAAAAAACTTCTTCCGAAAGAAAGCATCTACACAGCAAAAGCGCATCGAAAAAGCCATCTGTTTTTTTGAAAGATAGTCCACACTGAATGGACGCTATCTCGCATTTAAACTGTGATTACTATGGACAGAGTAGCCACCAGGGCACCTGTGCTTTTTCCTCTTTCCTCTTCTTTCGAAAGAACTCCCTCTTCCCCATTCACCCACGCCTTTTTCCGAAAGAGCTCTTTTGGAAAAAGGCTTCTTCCTCGCAGAAAGATGTTTACCAATGTCAGAAAAACCCCTCTGCTCTTTCAATTTTCTTTCGAAAGAACACAGTTGCAGTGTGGACGTAAGTGAAGTTTTTTCAGAAAAACGGTCATTTTTCCAAAAAAAACCCTCTGCAGTGTAGTCATACCCTTAGAAATTAGTTTTTTAAGCAGCGAAGAAAAAAAAGCTGAATATGTGAGAGATTCTCAGCAGAAATGGCAGTTCAAAGCTTCCCAAAGGGTGAACATTTTGAATATTAAACTTTTCCCAGAGAAACAAGAGACAGTAAAGCGTGCATTGTTTTGATGCGAGTTAAACAAGGAACTGTTTTTATCCATTCTGAGATTAGACTCTGTGTAGATGTGACTCTCTCTAGTTTTCTTCGTTATCTTTGCTATTACCGAGACATTAAATCATTGTGAGTGGCTTCTCTTTCCTGGAATCCCTACCCTCTCGCCATTACATATGGGCTAGGGAGATAATGTTAAGATATAGAAGCATACCAGTCACGGGCCAGATTTTGAAGTTCCCTTTGGAATCTAAATCGTGGCTGAGCGGCAACTTTAGATGCACCACTGCTGAAATCTTTCCAATTAATCGTCGAGACATTAAATCATTGTGAGTGGCTTCTCTTTCCTGGAATCCCTACCCTCTCGCCATTACATATGGGCTAGGGAGATAATGTTAAGATATAGAAGCATACCAGTCACGGGCCAGATTTTGAAGTTCCCTTTGGAATCTAAATCGTGGCTGAGCGGCAACTTTAGATGCACCACTGCTGAAATCTTTCCAATTAATCGTGTAATATTTCTTCTGACACAAAAGGTGGAAGTTTCATGAGCCCTGCTGAA